GTGTTCCACTAATAACTATATGTACTTTGAAAAGGTTCGTGTCGCATAGATGGCGCTGTAGTCACCAATGTGATAAACATCGCCATCTATGAGGCACTAAAGTACGTGTAATAAATAGAGAAACGGGTGTGGCAAGTTCTTATAGATGACGCTAAGGTATCTCATTTTTTGGGAATACAGCGTTAAGTTGGATATCTTCAGGTAGAATGATATCGCATATACTTCAACGGCAGCTAAATCTCTTTGTCAGTGTTTTCTTATTTAATCGAAGCAAAATATCAGAATATTCAAATGATGCAAGCGATTTGTTTACATGTCACACTGATAATGTTTGCTTCTTGAATTTATAATTTCCTTGAAAGGTATCGTAGTAATTTCATTGAATTCTAAGTATCTCGATTGTTTGTATTTGCAGCTGTATTCTTCGCAGTAGCGTCTGTTTGAAGATTTAATGTCGATGACAGAACTTAAAAGAGTTTTCTCCACATTTGCTTGACTTAAGCTAGGAGGTGCACGTGGATAGTCGGAAACCATACTTTCGATATTAATGTATACAGTTTCTTGGAAAGTTCCAGAACTTCACCTATTTATTGGTTATTCCACTTGCTGATTTGAAGGTGGTCAAGCAGGTTTCAATAATTGATGTTCTTCAATCAACGTGTTCTGGAAATGCTTGGCAAGCTTTATACTGAAAAAAAATAATTAAACCAATAAAACTTTTAATTTAGCCAATTAAAATATTTAGTTAACTACTTGATAGCTAACTAGTTGAATTGGTTTAAGTTTAATAAGTTTACTTGAATCTATGAAGTTATTATTTTATTATTCATTACCAAAGGATTAATAACATCGGCAATAGAAAAAGAAAAAAGAAAGACTGTATAATGTAATGAAAGTAACGCCAACTACAGAGAATATCGACTGCTACAACCAATATAAAAATAAATTTATAGAGCTTGCAATGCAAACCAAACGAAAACATTACCTAAATAAATTGAATAATAACTTAAATGATCCTAAGCGGCTTTGGACAACTATTGATGAGATTACTGGGAAAACAAAATTTAACGAGTGTGTCACTGAGTTAAATACAACATCGGGAACAGTATTAAAAAATACTCAACAAATATGCGATGAATTTGTACAATTTTTTACTGACAGGTGAGAATTTAGCAAGTAATATACAAGCAGATGTACCCAATACTCAGCCTCCAAAAAGATCTTTGAACTCATTTATTTTGGATAAAGTCGAGCAATGTGAAGTATACACCATTGTTATGTCCTTAAAAAATCGAAAAAGTCCTGGGTTCGATGGTATTAAAAGCGAGCATTTGAAAATTATAGCCGAAGACATAACAGAACCACTCACTTACCTAATCAACAAATGCTTTGAATCTGGCATATATCTCTCAATTTTAAAAAAAGGTAATATAATACCGATACATAAATCAGGAAAAAAACAGATGTTAACAACTATAGGCCAATATCAATAATATCCAGTGTAGCAAAGGTTTTTGAAAAAGTTTTATATACTAGAATGATTCGATATCTCACAAAATTCTAAATTTTAAGTGAAAATCACTATGGATTTACAGAAGGGAAGACTACATCGGACGCAATAACTAAAATTGTAAATCAAATACATCAAAATATTGATAACAGAATCCCTTCAATCTGCATTTTTGTTGATTTAAAAAAAGCTTTCGACACAGTTAGTCACAAATTATTATTAGAAGCATTGGAGAGAATTGGTTTCAGAGGAAACGCGTACTCACTGATCGAAAATTATTTGTCAAATCGCCCACAATCTGTGCAGATATCAGGATCCTTTAGTAAAGAAATGTATATTAAGTGTGGTGTCCCACAAGGAACTGTCTTAGGTCCGCTATTATTCAATATATATTTAAATATTTACCAAATTAATTGTGTTGGCAAAATAACCAGTTTTGCAGATGATACTGCAATATTGTATGAAGGCACTGACTGGTCCGATCTGAAAAATGTAATTGAAAATGATTTTATCAAAATTATTCGGTGGTTTAACAGTAGAAAATTAAGCATTAGCTATTCTAAAACACATTTTTTACCATTTGGATCTTATGCTCGACATCTGCCAAATTACACAAATTTTTCCTTCAACATTAATGATAAAAAAATGCAAATTAATAGAGTGCCCAACATAAAATACCTTGGAGTGGTCTTGGATCCTCACTTACGATGGGACATCCATGTCAATTATGTTTTAAAGAAAGTTAGATTTGTATCCTACAAAATTAAATACCTTGGGTATATATTGACAGAAAAATACCTTCGAACATTATACCATGCACTGATTGAGCCTCATCTCACATATGGTATATTAGCATGGGGGCTGCATGTTCCTCACATATCTATACTGACACTGACAAATTATATGCAGATGTTCGGTGACAGCTTTATTTCTTACACAGTATCACTCACTACCATAAATTTGTAAACACCGACCAAAAAATTAAACATAATCATTATACAAGGTACAAAATTCGTGGCACAGTAGTTCCTCAGCCGCATAAATCTATAAGACTTAAAAGATTTACGTTTCGGAAATTGTTTCAAAAGAAATTTAAAAAAGGGGCTACATTCTATATCTAGGACTGAAATTCATAAACTCTTAAATACGAACATCAAGTAAATACATAATCGACTGTAGCTAATTTTGTCCTTTTTTGTCATTTGCATTCTACAGTTGCAACTTAAAATTATTGGTCCATGTACAGGCGATGCCTTCTGTTGGGCCTGTTTTGATTTCATATTTATTTACTCATATTGTTTGTTATCTTTGTACGTTGAGTGAATAAATATTATTATTATTATTATTAATTTAATTGAGCCAAATCGCAATCGTTCAATTAAATTTATTAAACCGCTTACTTAGTACACGTATTTAGTTGAAATTAATGGTCTATAAAAATGAGTTTATCTGCTGCAAGTAAAATAATTTAATTATAAACATTAAATTTGTTTAATTATTTTATGTAAACGTAATGGCCTAATTTTAATGAATTATTTTATTTAGATTATATATTTGGATATTTGGAACTTAAAAGAACAAATTACACCTTACTGAAATGATGTATATAACTGTGCTCTGACAAATCTTAGGTATCAAAAAATTTGGAAAACTTGATGTTGATATTTGATGTTTTAGAATGAAAGAAAAACTTCCGAATTTTATAGTCGATGTTTTTTATTTTCATCGGCAACATTCGAATATGAGGCTCCTCGCGAAAATCACAAATGAAACTGAGGCGTCACCGGCACTGCGTCCGTCGCATACTCCCGATCTTTCACGAATTAATGCCCAAATAGGTACATGGTTTGCTGATTTCAAGCAAATTAGTTTAATAGAAGTTTAATTTAATTAAGCAGAATAACTTAGTTACGTAGAATATCTAAAAAATGTATTATGGGTAACAACCACGTTTTTTTTAACTGTATCGGAAGGTTATTAGAGGTTATAAGAGGCTTTGATCAAGGAAATATCACTTGTTTAGTTCTGCTGGATTACACAAAAGCTTTCGATATGATAGAGCCTGAAATGCTACTACTTAAGCTGTCTTACTATGGTTTTACTGATGCTGCGGTCAATTTGATAAGCTGATATTTGTCAAATAGAAATCAAAAGATCTTAACAACTCCGAAAATGTCACAATCAGCTGCTATAAGTTTTGGTGTTCCTCAAGGTTCCATACTGGGACCTTAACTTTTATCTCTCTCTATATATATATATATATATATATATATATATCGGATTTTCATCAATATGTCCATAATTGCACAATCCATCACTATGCTGATGATACTCAAATTTGTTTAGTCTTCAACACAAAGATTTTAAAATAGCAGAAGCATTGCTCAACGAAGACTTAAAAAGGCTAGTAGTCATCTCGTGCTCGCATAACCATATGGTTTTCGGCTCAAAAAAAAAGAACATTGATCGAAACGGAAATTAACCTGATAATCTAAGACTGCCGGCTTCCTATAATGAATGAGTGTAAAAACCTGGGACTCTGGATTGACACAGAACTAAAATACAAAAAACACGTAAATTCGTTATGTAATGCATCATACTGCATTTTGAAACAGTAAAGCTGAAACTGTATGAAACATTAATTATATCAAAGATCAGTTATTGTGACAGTATATATGGCGCAGCTCTATCATATAGTGAACAAAGCAAATTACAGCGTATTCAGAATTCGTGCGTCAGATTTTCTTGCGGAATACGAAAGTTTGATCATATTTCTTATAAATTTAAGGAACTTAGTATTCTGCAGATTAAAGTCATGCAAAAGCTTCACTTATTGACACTCACACATAAGGTCTTAGCTACCAAACAACCACAATATTTGCATAATAAGTTAACACGATGTAGTGACATAAATCAACTGAATACAAGGAATAGGAATATGTTAGTGATACCCTTACATTCTAAGGCTGTCTACAAAACATCATTGAGTTACAATGCTATTAAATTATATAATGATCTGCCTGTTACATTCCAAAACTATACGTTATTTAATTTTAAAAAGAGGCTTAAACTAAAACTACAAGTCGATGTTTGATGATGAATACAAAATGCTAGAAATATGGACTATTCTTGTAATTGTTCTGTTTTTTTTTGTGTTGTTAATTATTGAGAATTATGGATAGATTTTTGTTGGTGGAATGTTTTATTATATATATTTTTTTTTGTTAAGGTTAAGGTTAAGTTGAAAAACGCTAATCTTAGCGACACTTCGCCTTTTTTGTACTTTTACTTAGGCACGAAATAAAGCCAATTTATTATTATTATTAAAAACGTAAGAAATTATAATTTATAACTTTGAACATAACCTTCAGAAAGGACAACATATAAATAACCCTTTGGGCACTGCTAATAGACATACCTTATTGGCAGCGTATTCAGTAATAATTTTCTCACACAGCAAATATCACTGATTTTATACACATGCAGACCAATGCACACTATCATCTAGATGCGATTTTGCTCGTCAACCTACTTTATTCTCAGGGATGAAAACTATAGAATCGGCTTCACAAAACATATGCAACAATGCGTGTAGTTGAGCCATTCCACCATAGATGGACGCTCACAACGATCCTGATAAGCATACGTGGAATGACTGTTTGCACCCTTTTTGACGTTTTATAGGTTTTTTACCCGTGAGGGGAAACGCTCCGCGATCTTTTTGTCACCATGTATATTCTCGCTGGGATTCCGCGATCGTAAGTAGTCGCCGTTGTGGGAAATTTAAATAATTCGCAAATTTCTAATGCATAAAATCGCTAGCTTCGAGGCCGACCTTGCTTCAGCCGCTGGCATCGGCACATCATTTTTAATTCTATAATTCTTCGTCAATCCATTTAGTTTTACAGAATTACTCATGCTCAGCGTATCGAAATCATGGAAACGCGTGAATTCTAGTGTGTTGTATTCAGTTGTTTTTTTTTCTAGTTGGTGATACAGTGCGTCTAGTGCGGAAGTTTTTCAACCGTGGCGACTGTGGTTTTAACGGAATCGTGCTATTGTGAATCGAAAACAAAAACAACATAGTTACATCTTTAACTCTACATGATATGGATTATTCAACATGTTTTAGGTACAAGATAATGTAACTGTCGTGACCATATCGTAGAATTGACCGTTTCTTGAAATGGCCAATCAAATTTGACCATATCGTTAAATCGTCATCGTGAAATAGGGTGTCCATAGCACACTTAATAATAAACAAGAATATGTTACGAACTCATAGAATGTTCTTTAAGTACAACAAACATTTTATTTAAACTATTAAATTAAAATAATTATATTAAAACAATCTAAAATTGCACAATGCGTCACAAATAAAATTGTTGAACATACAGATATCACAAATCAAGTTATTACCTCGCGTGGTCACTCTACTCTCCACTCTTTCACGTATAGCCTAAAAATGAAATTAATATTAAGATGAGTTGTACATGCGTAGAATAGTATAGTCGGTCAACAGACAAACTTATTATTTTAGCTGACTCCCGATTTTGACTTCAAATAAATGAATGATGGTGTAATTGAAGAGTGAAGTGCTAACCTGTCGGGAACTTTACGGTTTTTGGATCTTTTGATTGGTATTTGCGTGACCGGTGCGGCTATTACGTATCTTGAAAACTGACGTTATGTTGATTTTTTTTTATTGTATTTTTCTACAAGATGTTAACCTAACTCTAGCTGATGAACACGTTGTGAACTCGTTATGTAGTTATACGTGCTACCTGAACGTCATGATGCTTCAGTTATCAATGTTTGGCTCTGTTGTGATGTAATATCTGCTTCAGAGATAGCGTTACTGGAGGTCTAAGTTGTAAGTTGCATCTCATTAAGTATTCCCGCGTTTAGTTGTTCATATCGTTAAGCGATTTATACTAAGTGACATATAAATCCCAACACCTAGTTTAAATGGTTTTATTTTAATAAAATTTTGTATAAGTACTTAGTGAAGCATAATAAGTAAATGATAAAAATTTCAAAATGATTGCACTGCTTTAAAGCCCTTTGACCTTTAATAATGTGTGAATGCACCCTGATGTGCTACGCATTCTCCAACGCGCCTAGGCATGCTTCTGATCAGGTGGTCAATGTCCTCCTGTGGTATCTCATTCCAGGCAACCACCAACTCCTCCCGAAGTGCTTCTAGAGTTTGAGGAGGACGTTGCAAATTGAGCAATCTCCTACCCATCATATCCCACACGTGCTCAATTTGGGGATAAATCGGAAGATCTTGGTGGCCATGGTAACAATGTGACATCATTATGTTGAAAGAAGTCTATTGTGACTCTTGCAACATGTGGTCGGGCATTATCTTGTTGGAAAGTTGGATCTGCCAGGGTGTCAAGATAGGGTAAAAGATGGGGTTCTAGAACTTCGTGGATATAACGCTGCGCGTACATGTTACCTCTGATGAAGATTAAAGGTGACCTGGAACCATAAGCTATAGCACCCCAAACCATAACTCCAACAATGTGATGAACATGTCTTTCAACAAAAAACTGTGGATTCCTACTTTCACCACGTCGCCTTCTAACCCTGGCACGACCATAGTGCATGCCTAAACAAAATCGAGACTCGTCACTAAAGACAATACTGTTCCATTCCTGATCCCAGAGTGACCGTTGTCTGCACCACTCAAGGCGATTACGTCGGTGTTCTCGAGTTAAAGGGAGGACCCAGTGTGGCCGGTATGAAAACAAGCCAAAACTTCTCATTCGTCGGTAAACACTTCGCATGCCAATAGGTCTTCCGTGTTCTGCAAACCATTCATTTGCAATGGACCTGGTATTGGAGAAACGGTCCCTTAAGGCCAATAATCTTAGGCGGCGATCTTCACGGTCTGTTGTTCTACGGCGGCGTCCAGTGCCCCTTGCTCTTTGCGTACGGCCTTCTCGAAGCCATGCCTGACAACACCTAACCACAGTGTCTACACTTCTTTGCACTCTAACTGCAATTGCCCGAAAAGAAAGTCCAGCTTCCCGAAGTCCCACTATACGGCCCCTATCAAACTCACTAAGTTGACGAAATCGTACAGGTCTCCGTACTCTAGGCATCGTAACCGATCGTAAAGGATGTCAAGAACCAAAATCCGCCAACGTTGATTCTTTACTGCGGCTGAAATATTCATTTTTAGAGCGTTAGTGAATTAAAAAAAAGCAGTATAAAAACCGGAATGTCCAACTGATAAGGCTGAAAATTTTTTCACTTGTTATTTACAGTAAGATAAATACATTCACCAACTTTTATTAAAATAAAACCATTTAAACTGGGTGTTCGGATTTATATGTCACTTAGTATATTATCATTGATTTGGTCAACGCACATCATGATCTGGCAACATGAAATGGTCAAATTTACGATATGGACAAGACCTAATCATATCCAGGATCCAATCTATAGCTACAGATGGTTATGACGATCCACTAGGTGGGTTTATAGAACTTGAACAGAGTTAATTAACATCTATCGTGGCAGAACGAAGTACTACTAAAGCAACAAAAAGCTTCAAAACTGAATATTTGCTCTATGGATGTTTCCTTTAGGAGTGAGTTAGTCCTCGGTAGGAAGCTACAGCTTTAGTTGTCACGCAAAAGCTAACCTCAATCGAATATGTACAGAGTACTTATGAAAACTTCAAGAAGCTTCAAAGGGTAGAATCTCAGAGACATTTCAACACAGACTGTTTGCGGTTCCTTTGTCTCTAGGGTGCTGAAATTGTGGAACAGCCTGCCAGAGGGGGCTCTTCGCAGTTCTACTAGCTTTCAAAAATCAGATTGTCGAAGTATCTTTAAGCTCCTTGTAGTAGACGCGGTGCTCCGGTATTTAGGCTTATGCTTAAGCGACTGCTTAAGTATAAAAAGAGAGGTGAAGTGGGACAATACTCCAACACTCAGGTGCACTGTATCTGGAATTCGTGAAACTTTTGCGAACGTTTGAAAGATTGGTGTATTCATCAAGTTCGACAAGAGCTTTAATCGAGTTAAACATGTTCGTTCGACCAAAAGACAGCCAACCATGAACAGCTGTTCATGCTATTTGGATACTTGACAGCATAGCCTAGGATTGGTTTCTCGTCTCTGGACAAACGAACGAATATATCGCAACTATCCTCTATCCAAGAGGTACGGTCTATCATACCATAGATGGCGGTTTTCGTTGTCTAATTTCTTTAATCGAGTGTTGTTCGTCTATCTTACGCCATATCAAAAATCAGTGTTTTGACGTCATCAAAATTCCGATTCACTCTACGTTGAAAAGGAGGAGTAGCCGTTTTAACCTTTCACCCATAAGGGTCGCAGAAAATTTAACTAAAATCGTTTATTATAAATTGTTATGGCTAGATTTAAACAGGCTATTTCTCCTTATTTCTTTTTTTTATTTATGCATTAGTAGTACTAGTAGTGTTTATTGGTCATCTTGATACATAAGTATATCTCGCATGGCAGGTCAATACAAAGAGAAAAATAAATAAGCAAATAAATCAACAAATAAAAGATAAAAGCAAAAACCTTATAGATACAAAGTAGCTTCAGCACGCTAAGACATGCACAAATATTGGATAAATTATATTTAATATTATATACTATGTGACATATAAATCCGAACACCCAGTTTAAATGGTTTTGTTTTAATAAAATTTTGTATAAGCACTTAATGAAGCATAATAAGTAAATGATAAAAATTTCAAAATGATTGCACTGCTTTAAAGCCCTTTGACCTTTAATAATGTGTGGATGCACCCTGATGTGCTACGCATTCTCCAACGCGCCTAGGCATGCTTCTGATCAGGTGGTCAATGTCCTCCTGTGGTATCTCATTCCAGGCAACCACCAACTCCTCTCGAAGTGCTTCTAGAGTCTGAGGAGGACGTTGCAAATTGAGCAATCTCCTACCCATCATATCCCACACGTGCTCAATTGGGGATAAGTCGGGAGATCTTGGTGGCCATGGTAACAATGTGACATCATTATGTTGAAAGAAGTCTATTGTGACTCTTGCAACATGTGGTCGGGCATTATCTTGTTGGAAAGTTGGATCTGCCAGGGTGTCAAGATAGGTAAAAGATGGGGTTCTAGAACTTCGTGGATATAACGCTGCGCGTTCATGTTACCTCTGATGAAGATGTCTTTCAACAAAAAACTGTGGATTCCTCCTTTCACCACGTCGCCTTCTAACCCTGGCACGACCATCGTGCATGCCTAAACAAAATCGAGACTCGTCACTAAAGACAATACTGTTCAATTCCTGATCCCAGAGTGACCGTTGTCTGCACCACTCAAGGCGATTACGTCGGTATTCTCGAGTTAAAGGAAGGACCCAGTGTGGCCAGTATGAAAACAAGCCAGAACTTCTCATTCGTCGGTAAACACTTCGCATGTCAATAGGTCTTCCATGTTCTGCAAACCATTCATTTGCAATGGACCTGGTAGTGGAGAAGCGGTCCCTTAAGGCCAATAATCTTAGGCGGCGATCTTCTCGGTCTGTTGTTCTACGGCGGCGTCCAGTGCCCCTTGCTCTTTGCGTACGGCCTTCTCGAAGTCATGCCTGACAACACCTAACCACAGTGTCTACACTTCTTTGCACTCTAACTGCAATTGCCCGAAAAGAAAGTCCAGCTTCCCGAAGTCCCACTATACGGCCCCTATCAAACTCACTAAGTTGACGAAATCGTACAGGTCTCCGAACTCTAGGCATCGTAACCGATCGCAAAGGATGTCAAGAACAAAAATCCGCCAACGTTGATTCCTTACTGCGGCTGAAATATTCATTTTTAGAGCGTTAGTGAATTAAAAAAAAGCAGTATAAAAACCGGAATGTCCAACTGATAAGGCTGAAAATTTTTTCACTTGTTATTTACAGTAAGATAAATACATTCACCAACTTTTATTAAAATAAAACCATTTAAACTGGGTGTTCGGATTTATAAGTCACTTAGTATATTATTTGCCCTTGTGTTATAAAAATTCATCAATTGTATAAAAACCCTTCACCTGATAAAAAACGATTTTACTTCATATTTAAAATGTGAGTGGTTTGGCTTTGATGATGCTTCATTCTTATTCGATTTGATCTAAATTCTTGGCGATACGTCTGTACCTTCTCAATTTCAACAAACTCTAGCAAAATCAGTTTAAGAGGAAAAACAAATACGAAAACCTGATTGCTGCAACTGAAAGGAATAAATTCTTAGTTCTGCCATCAAGAAGAATCTAAGGACACCTTAAATGTCAAACTTTATCCGTACTACGTGTCTATTCGTCTTTGTCCGTCAGCGCGGTCCGTGGGACCTTCGCTCTTTGTTAAAGTATCGTAGGTCAGTAGGTCTGTCAGGTCTGGTTGCCCAGATTCCAGACGAAGTTAGAGAGAAAGGACGAAGAAAGAAAGGAAGGAAGGGGGAACAGCAAAGAGGATGAAGTGCGCCGGTTAAAGGGATGCTTTGCTATTGTTAACTGATATTCGGTTATTTTAAATTATTCCAGAAATTAATTCAGGCAAAAATCATAATTTTGATTGGCTCTAGAATTGCACGACTTGATTTTGATCACAGTGCGAGTCGCGACCTTGTGTGCTTGCGAACTTGCTCGACTGTGTAGTCTACTGACTCACGCAACTGAGGGTTGCTGTGCGATTCCGCTTGACTATAACGTAACTGCGCCTGATTTTTGATGTAGTCCTTTAGGTAAGGGATGTCGAGGTCTCTGTGAAGGGTCTCGTTGGGGACATACCATGGGGCGTTAGTGATTGTACGCAAGGTTCTGTTCTGCAAAACCTGCAGATTACGCATATGCGTTTTGGCAAACACCATGCTGCACATGCGTAAGTGATTGCTGGTCTGATAACCGTCTTGTATAGCCGAACTTTATTAACCAAATTTAATTTTGAGGTTCTACATAGTTGCCGAAACGTAATTTGGAATTTAGTTTTTAGCGCTTAGTGTGATTCTGCCAGGTTATCCCCCTGTCAAGAGTGACACCGATATACTTAGCAGAATTTCCCCATGTTATGCGAGCTCCATTCACTGAAATCTCAGGCGGGGCGCCGCTACGTTTTTCAGTACAAAATCCTTGAAGCTCTGCTGGTGTGCAATGCGGGATCTCGGGACAAGCCGCTGATGTGCTGTGCAACTCTTAAGCAGAAGAATCTTCCGAAAAAGAATCTTCTGAGGAAGAATCACTAATGGCGGCGCCGGCGCCGGGAGCACTGACGCCTTTGGCCTGATCTTAGGATTTGATCTTAGGATTTGTTGCTCCTCGTCGAGATCATTATCATGATCACAGTTGGGAGAGAACTGTCGTTCCATAGCATCAGCGAAAACCTCGACGTTGTCCTCTGTCCTGAAGACTATGCCCCCAGGACCGTGGATGTGCGGGAGTTGTTCTCGCTTTCTCTTTCTGAGCCATCCGTACTACATATAACCCGTGAAATAGAAATTTCAACATTGAATTCTAATATCCGCCATTTTGATTTTACGAAATTTGGTATACCAATCAACTAGTTTGAGCCCGTGAGATACACATAAGGAAAATAGATCCCAGAAGATTTGTCTGAAAATTCAGAATAAGATATTTCTCGCGCTCCTGAACAAAAGTTCTCGGTGTAACGAAGCAATGGTGTGATAAGTATACTAAGTGACATATAAATCCGAACACCCAGTTTAAATGGTTTTATTTTAATAAAATTTTGTATAAGTACTTAATGAAGCATACTAAGTAAATGATAAAAATTTCAGAATGATTACACTGCTTTAAAGCCCTTTGTCCTTTAATAATGGGTGGATGCACCCTGATGTGCTACGCATTCTCCAACGCGCCTAGGCATGCTTTTGATCAGGTGGTCAATGTCCTCCTGTGGTATCTCATTCCAGGCAACCACCAACTCCTCTCGAAGTGCTTCTAGAGTCTGAGGAGGACGTTGCAAATTGAACAATCTCCTCCCATCATATCCCGCACGTGCTCAATTGGGGATAAGTCGGGAGATCTTGGTGGCCATGGTAACAATGTGACATCATTATGTTGAAAGAAGTCTATTGTGACTCTTGCAACATGTGGTCGGGCATTATCTTGTTGGAAAGTTGGATCTGCCAGGGTGTCAAGATAGGGTAAAAGATGGGGTTCTAGAACTTCGTGGATATAACGCTGCGCGTTCATGTTACCTCTGATGAAGATTAAAGGTGACCTGGAACCATAAGCTATAGCACCCCAAACCATAACTCCAACAGTGTGATGAACATGTCTTTCAACAAAAAAACTGTGGATTCTTCCTTTCACCACGTCGCCTTCTAACCCTGGCACGACCATCGTGCATGCCTAAACAAAATCGAGACTCGTTACTAAAGACAATACTGTTCCATTCCTGATCCCAGAGTGACCGTTGTCTGCACCACTCAAGGCGATTAGGTCGGTGTAAGTTGACGAAATCGTACAGGTCTCCGTACTCTAGGCATCGTAACCGATCGTAAAGGATGTCAAGAACCAAAATCCGTCAACGTTGATTCTTTACTGCGGCTGAAATATTCATTTTTAGAGCGTTAGTGAATTAAAAAAAAAGCAGTATAAAAACCGGAATGTCCAACTGATAAGGCTGAAAATTTTTTCACTTGTTATTTACAGTAAGATAAATACATTCACCAACTTTTATTAAAATAAAACCTTTTAAACTGGGTGTTCGGATTTATATGTCACTTAGTATATCTGAAAAATAAGGGGATGAAGTTTATCGATTATCAGAAATGGTGAATGTGCACATGTACGCGGCTTGAAGTTTTCGAAAAAGAACGTTATTGGATTCTGGATATGAATATATGCTATTTTTTGTTGGCAACCATGTCAACGTTACAACAGTTCTTGTTCTAACCTAGATTTAAAGTAAGCGGGTGAAATTCAATGTATGTTCAATATAATCTAATAAAGCTTCGAGCTATGACAGACAGAATTGTGAGATATATTAGTGAAAAGCAGAGTGTTAGTGCTGTGTAGAAAAACATTACATAGTCAAAAATGGTGAAGATTTATTTGCTGATCTGGAGCTTTACCTTGGTGAGTTACTTTTCTTTATTAAATAACTTTCTGTTGCTAATACAAAAAAAACATTGTATTTTGAGCACCTGATAATTAACACTGATCAACAGCCAAAAAATATCCTGAATAAAATCAACAAAATATTACTATTTTTAATGTGCTAAACCCGGAATGAAACTTATTTTTTCAATATTAGTTCAAGTTTTAGAGATACGGTAATTATATGTGTTCCTGCTGTGACAGTGTTAATATACTGTAATTCACAAGAATGCACGTGCTACATTTTTATATTCGGCAAGGAAAGATGATGTAATCGGCATGATTGTGTTACGTTATACATACGTGTACATTATATTGTTTTATATTAGCCATTTTTCCTCAGTTGGCTGACAGCGTTCATGCAAGATGTCTCGAAAGTGTGTAAACAATCCAGATCAGTTTTGTTACGTGTGTGGTGATGTGACTTTTGCGTCTCAGAGACGGTCTATTACTCCACTAATAACTAAGGCATATCAGCTTTATTTCGGTTGTAAACTAGGTGATCAAGACAAACAGTGGGCACCCCACATCTGCTGTAATACATGTGCTTCAAGTCTGAGGAGCTGGTTAAATGGCAAAAAACGGTCTATGCGCTTTGCTGTCCCAATGGTTTGGAGAGAGCCTACAAATCATATTAATGATTGTTACTTTTGCATGGTACCTTGTGTTGGACAAGCCACAGGTATGTCCAAGAAAAAAAAATCGGTTATTAACTACCCAAACATACCATCTGCGATGAGACCTGTGCCTCACAGTGACGAAAATCCTATTCCAAAACCCCCAGAATCCTACACTTGCGAATCAGAAAACGAATCAGATCATGGCGATCGAGTGATTCGTCAGGAAGAAGATATGCCATCAACGTCAAGAGATCCTGATTTTATACCGAGCACCTCATGCCACCAACCGCACAAAATAACACAGTCAGAATTAAATGATCTTGTAAGAGATTTAGAACTTCCAAAATGTAAGGCAGAGTTACTTGGATCAAGACTGCAGCAGTGGAACTTGTTAGAAGACGATGTTTCGTAAACGCCACAAAGACTTAGAACCATTTTTCAATAAGGAGAATAACTGGGTTTTCTGCAGTAACATAACATTAACGGCTTACTGGCGGCTTTAAATATAAACTATAACCCAGAAGAATGGAGATTGTTTATAGACAGTTCAACATTGAGTTTAAAGGCAGTGTTATTGCATATTGGAAATATTTTACCATCTCTTCCTGTAGGGTATGCAGTTCACATGAAAGAATCATATGACAATATGAAGTACCTATTGACATGCATAAAATACGATGAGCACCAATGGCATATTTGTGGCGATTTGAAAGTTGTTGCACTTTTACTTGGGCTGCAGCTAGGCTACACAAAGTTTTGCTGTTTTTTGTGTGAATGGGACAGTCGGGCAAAGGCACTTCATTACACCAGACAAAACTGGCCTGTTCGTCAATTCCTAGAGCCAGGTCAAAAAAATGTACAGCATATGCCATTAGTAGATTCGAAAAAAATTTTATTACCACCACTGCATATCAAGTTGGGCCTAATAAAAAACTTTGTCAAGGCACTAGATAGAGATGGGTCAGCTTTTCAATACCTGCTTCAGAAATTTCCAAGACTAATTGAGGCAAAGGTTAAAGAAGGTATTTTTGTTGGGCCACAGATTCGAAATATTTTGAAAGATACACAGTTTGAAAACACTTTAACAGGTATTGAAAAAACTGCTTGGAATGATTTCCGTCTGGTGGTCACTAATTTCTTGGGAAATAGAAAAGCTGACAACTATAAAACCCTTGTCAAAAATATGCTGTCATCGTATCAAAAGATGGGCTGTAATATGTCTCTTAAGATACATTTCCTACACTCACACCTGGACTTTTTTCCTGAGAATTGCGGAGCCGTAAGTGATGAGCACGGCGAACGTTTTCATCGGGATATTTCAACATTGGAAAAGGTACCAGGGAAAGTGGAATCCTTCCATGCTTGCAGACTACTGTTGGACTGTTGGTAGAGATGCTCCAGAAACGATCCATAAAAGAACAGCAAAAAGACAGCGCATATAGTGATTCTTATAAGTATATGAATCTTGTTACTTTTTTTAATATATCCTTAAAAATAAAAAGTTTTTTTTCTAAACCGCAACTAATTTTTTTATTTCATTGCCATTTTTGGATTCAGCGCGCCAAAATTAACAAAGAAGAGCACTTTTAACACAAGATACAATTAAAAAACTAAAATTTGTTGTCCAGTGTAATTTAATAGTTGGAGATACCAGACTTACGATAATGTAATTGAAATTTAACGATCCCATGATATTCGCTCGGAAGGTATAATAAAAACAGTGTATATAACAACACAGATAAAAGAGTGGTTTTAATGGCCTCAGTTAAATCACAGCTATACGTAGATTGGAGCGTCGGTGTATCGTAATACCTCAAAGGTAATGGACCAAGACCGCTCACGCAAACCGTTACGGAAGCGGTAAAGGTAACCTTTTATCTTCTATTCGTCATTGTCTGTCAGCGCGGTCCGTAGGACCTTTGCTCTTGGTTAAAGTCTTGTAAGTCGGTAGGTCCATCAGGTTGCCCAGATACCAAACAAAGTCAGGAAGAAAGAAAGGAAGAAGAAAGGAAGGAAGGAGGGAGAGCAAAGAAAAAAGAGGGGTGCCTTGGCATTGCTAATTAGTATTCGGCAACTTTAAATTGATCCTAAAATTTTGTTGAAGAAAAATTATAATTTTGGTTGGACCTAAAGTCGCACGATTTAATTTTGTTCACAGTGCGAGTCGCGGCCTTGTGTGCTTGCGAACTTGCTCGACTGTGTAATCTACTGACTCGGGCAACAAAGGGTTGTTATGCGATTCCGCTTGACTATAACGTAGCTGCGCTTGTTGTTTGATGTTGTCCCTTAGGTAAGGGATGTCAAGGTCTCTGTGAAGGGTCTCGTTGGAAACATACCATGGGGCGTTAGTGATTGTACGCAAGGTTCTGTTCTTCATAACCTGCATGCTACGCAAATGCGTTTTGGCGAGAAAACACCAAGCCGCACTTGCGTAAGTGATCGCTAATAACCATCTTGTATAGCCGAACTTTGTTGATCAAACTTAATTTTGATGTTCTACATAGCATAGGGTAGAGTTGCCGAAACGAGATTTGGAATTCAGTTTTTAGCGCTTCAGTGTGCTACTGCCAGGTCATCCCCTTGTCAAGAGTGACACCAAGATACTTAGCAGAGCTTTCCCATGATACTCGAGCTCCATTCACTGAAACCTCAGACGGGACGCCGCTACGTTTTTTAGCACAATAGATTGCCTGCGTTTTCGAATGATTAATTTTGATCAGCCATCGATTCGCGCATTCCAATACCTCGTCGTACTTTGCAGCCTGTCGTGAATTAGATCCCCAAAACACGACTGTGCCACCAGGGCAGTATCATCAGCATAGAGATAGATTTCACAATTGGTGGGGCAAGGGAACCTTTTATCTTTCTGTTCCTCTATCAAGACCTGTAATAAAGGCTGATGTGAGTACTGCTCACATGCTTGGGGTGCTGCCGCCTCGATTACATTATCCATGCTAGATCAGCATCTAGCAACAGCGTTCAAAAAAGGGCTGTCTGACTGATCGATGACTCTTCTCAAGCCGCTTTCGGTCGTCGGCGATCCAGCTCTCTTGTACCGCTATATCAAGCGGCTTTGCTCCTCAGCGCTCTATTCCACGATGCCGCCACGCGATGTGCCTGCCTGACAGATCCTACTGATTTTGGCCTCCCTGGCAATCGTGTCGAGCTTCTTACATTCAGAACTATGGTGTCCAAACTATGGAACGATCCGCCTGAGGTGCCTTTAAGCTTCTTATAACAGCCGCGGTGCCCCAGTATTTAAGATTCTGCCTATGCGGCGGCGACGCGGGGTCTCAACGTTGTAATTGAAAAAATGTCTTGTTTGTTTCGCAAATATACTAAGTGACATATAAATCCGAACACCCAGTTTAAATGGTTTTATTTTAATAAAATTTTGTACAAGTACTTAATGAAGCATAATAAGTAAATAATAAAAATTTCAAAATGATTGCACTGCTTTAAAGCCCTTTGACCTTTAATAATGTGTGGATGCACCCTGATGTGCTACGCATTCTCCAACGCGACTAGGCATGCTTCTGATCAGGTGGTCAATGTCCTCCTGTGGTATCTCATTCCAGGCAACCACCAACTCCTCTCAAAGTGCTTCTAGAGTCTGAGGAGGACGTTGCAAATTGAGCAATCTCCTACCCATCATATCCCACACGTGCTCAATTGGGGATAAGTCGGGAGATCTTGGTGACCATGGTAATAATGTGACATCATTATGTTGAAAGAAGTCTATTGTGACTCTTGCAACATGTGGTCGGGCATTATCTTGTTGGAAAGTTGGATCTGCCAGGGTGTCAAGATAGGGTAAAAGATGGGGTTCTAGAACTTCGTGGATATAACGCTGCGCGTTCATGTTACCTCTGATGAAGATTAAAGGTGACCTGGAACCATAAGCTATAGCACCCCAAACCATAACTCCAACAGTGTGATGAACATGTCTTTCAACTAAAAACTGTGGATTCCTCCTTTCACCACGTCGCCTTCTAACCCTGGCACGACCATCGTGCATGCCTAAACAAAATCGAGACTCGTCACTAAAGACAATACTGTTCCATTCCTGATCCCAGAGCGACCGTTGTCTGCACCACTCAAGGCGATTACGTCGGTGTTCTCGAGTTAAAGGGAGGACCCAGTGTGGCCGGTATGAAAACAAGCCAAAACTTCTCATTCGTCGGTAAACACTTCGCATGCCAATAGGTCTTCCGTGTTCTGCAAACCATTCATTTGCAATGGACCTGGTAGTGGAGAAACGGTCCCTTAAGGCCAATAATCTTAGGCGGCGATCTTCACGGTCTGTTGTTCTACGGCGGCGTCCAGTGCCCCTTGCTCTTTGCGTACGGCCTTCTCGAAGC